AGGAAATGCACATAACTTATACATGTAAAAAATTTATTAGGGATGGCAATGATCAACTGGGTAACCATCTAATCAGTCAGAAATATAGTAACCGGTTTAGTATGGGATGACGGGTTATGATTTTCATAACCGGTTAGTCGGTATTTTTTGTATAATATGTACTTTTTAAATAATATACCAGTATACATATTTTTTAAAAAAAAAATTACCACTTAGATCATGTAGATAGCATGTGTAAAACTAGTCTCATTCAAGCAAATGCTCAACTGTCTCCATAAACTCCTGCTCATTGGAGTTTACGGAGACAGACAAGCATCTGCTTGAATAAGATTAGTTTAAAACTGAAAAGTTGCTATCGACTTATTAAATTATTCACAATATACAGCCACTGTGAAAACAAATCCCCATTATTTTGTCATTACAGTAAAACATGCTTATAAGTGCCAGGGACAAATAATTTTGATTCATTATAAATGTATTCATTTTTCAGTTTAGTTTTCAGTATGTTTTAAAACCACAGGGAATGAAAATCACTTCACTATATGTTTCAATTCCTTATTTAAGTCTGTTCGCAGTAAGCGTGTTTTACTGTATAACCCAAATACCACTCTAAGTTTACATACCCCAATCATAAAAAATTCTATTTTCTAATTTCAAGAACTAATTTTTTACTAAACAATGTTTTACACGGTAATTAATCTAGTTCATTATCTGTAATGGTAGCCTAGTTGTAGGGCATTCATTTTGTAATCAGGAGGCCTGGGCTTGATTCTCATTTGCTGTGTCAAACCTAAGACATAAACATACAGGTAATGAAGGTTCCTTCACCAAGCGCCCAGCATTAGAATGAAAGTCAAAGGTTTTTCAGATGAGACCTTAAAAACCTCACAGTAGATGTTGGGACAATAAAGAACCCTCACTGCTCAATGGGCCTTAGTGCCAAGTATTAAGGTTTATGTTTGAAGCCCTTCACAAGTATGTGGTAATGTCTCTATACGAGAGAAAAATTCTCAAGTAAGATGTAAAACAACACACAATCAATCAAAGTGTCAGTAAGAAGCTGATCCTTACGTCGCAGGTTCGAATCCCACAGCTGGATGTGGAGATAGGTTCCTCGGATGAAACCGTATGAACCGAGGTTCTGTGTCACAGAAGGTGCTGGCACGAAAAAGATCCCTCACTTCCCAAAGGCCGTAAGTGTCAAGTACAGGTCTATATTTGCAGGCCTCCACCAGCAAGTGGTGGCATAATAATATGACTAAAAAAAATTTGAAGGGGCAATAAACAAAACACAAATCAATCCTGCAGTCTTATCACAGAAATAATTCAAACTTTTATGTATAAATATATTTCCAAATTTCTTTTGCAATTTAACTGAGTGACATTTTTGAGATTTTCCAATAATAATACACATTTACTAACTGGGTTCGAGGGCAACATGTGTTTTGTCGGACCCAAGAACCAAACTGTTTGCCTGAGGCCATTAGGCCGAAGGGAAACAGTTTGGTTCAAGGGGTAAGCAAATTGCATTTTACCCCGAGAACATGGTCAATAAATGTTTTGTTATATCTTTTACTTTCTTTTTTTGTTTGACATACATGTATTTTGTAGTGGCTTCCATACATGTGACAGAACTGAAAAACCACAACTGGAGATTTGAAATTTTTCAGCTGGAGTTTGGGTCTCAAAGCTGGAGATTTTTTATCGACATTTTTTTTCAAATCGCTAAAGACCATCCAACCCCCTTAATTCAGGTAAAAATACCTTCTCCCAGTTTATTACTTTACAAATTTTATTTTATTAAGTTGTTGTCTAGTTTTAAGAAAAATATGATAAAGTTTTTATTCAAATGAAATGAAATTCAGTATTCAAAATGAATTGGTGAAATTACATGCTCTCATGCACTTATATATAAGGAAAAGCAATGGGGATTTGACAATGTCATGTCAGGGCTAACAGACAGAGACTGAACCATAAAATAGATAACATACTTCAGTGTTTGTGCGTACATTTATACATTTGCTGGCATATACATGTAAACATCAGTGCTGTAAGCAGCTGTTAAATTTTAGATAAGAAAAATTCTAACCTTCATTTCCATGGTCCACGCCAATCATATATTAAAATGTCACCGTGAACTCTTTCATCACTCGCTACATTTATCACAGAAAATCCGACACAAGACTGTTCATCGCTGTTAATGTGATCGTCAGAATTTCCTCGTAAACAATTTGCACAAGAATATATATATCCCTTTAAAACTAATGCTCCCTGTACGCAACCAAGGATTTTATGTGCTTCGTAGATGTGGATTAAACGTGCATTTCTACATACGGCTCGTACGTTAAGAAAATGTACAACTGTCAACTTCACATATAATCATATTTTCTGTAATTCCGACTTGCATGGCTACTTCCGGGGACGTACTAAAGACTTGATATACTAAAGAACCTGATATTCGACCTGATGATTTTTCAAAAAATAAAATAATCAGATTGAGTGTTATACATGATTTATTTTTTAAAAATTATTGATTATGAAGCATTATGCTATACTAAACTACACTTTTTTTTAAATATTTGCCAACAAAGCATCAGATCAAATCACGTTTTCCGTATATCGGGTCTTTAGTGTCTTCTTCCCACAATGCCGCTCGTGATTGTTTACATCCAGGTTACAAACAAGAGGCCCCGATTAGGACTCTTTCTATACGGATGCATTTGTAAATGTTGATTTACCTTTACTTGTGTAAATAACTTGCATTTATAAACGATTTAGATAACAGAAAACAGAGAAATCGAATCAAAACAATTTATTTAAAACACAACAACTATCTAAAACCGTACAAGCACGTGTTACGATGCCCTAAAAGGCGTGGCTGGTTTGTAGACAACTTGTTCCTGTACGATTCTCGAATAATTATTATATAAAATAGAATAAAATATAGCACGGAGCTTGTTTCTCTTTATACCACATGACAAGATTTAATATGTTAGAAATTATGTCATTCAAACTTTTTCATAATGTTTTAATATTTTTAGCTATCAAAAAAATACTTTTATGGCCTGCTGTCCCCTGAATATAGGAACCAGCCCCTTTTTCTTGATGTTATCTGAAAGCTCTCGTAATTACACACAACTTTCATTCTATATGTCTTACCAAATTTTTATCAGTTTAAAAGTTATTAAACAAAAAGCAGCAAAATTTCATGGAAAAATAATTCCTAAAACTTGCCGTCACATAGCTTCCAAACTTAAAAAAATTAGCCTACAATTTTAATGTTCTGCGCATCTGCAATGTATTAGTTACAAGTTCTCCAGTTTTCATGCAAATATCATGTGTCGTTATTGAGAATTCTACTGGACAAGAGACCCTCCAAATATCGATTAAGGGGCAATAACTCATGAACGGAGGTACATATCAAAAATTTGAAAAAACCGTTTTTAGGCAATAATACATTGTATCTACCCTGAAAGTTTCATAGCAATCGGACAAAAGGTCTCCGAGAAATCGCCTGCTGAAAATCGGCGGGAAAAAAAAAATAAAATAATAATAAGAAACAGTAGAATAATAGTAGGGTCTTCCGAAGGAAGCTCGGAAGACCCTAATAAGAAACAGTAGAATAACAGAAGGATCTTCCGACGGAAGTTCGGAAGACCCTAATAATAATAATAAACAGTACAATCACTATAAGGTCTTCCGTCTGGAACAAAAGACCTTAATTAGACCGCTAGGTTTTGGCAGAAATGCCATGTGGATAATGTGATTGATATTTCTGCTTTATAGATTAATAAAATGTGAAAGATTTACGGACGAGAACTGAAAGCAATACATGTATGTCATAAGAGCGACAAAAATGACCATACCATGCTTACTCTAATTTCTTTTTCAAATGTCTGCACAATCAACATTGTAGGACATCTAAGACATCAGTTAGTTCCAGCGTTTTATCAATATGTTGTTTGGAACATTTGATGCAATTTTCTTGCCATACAAACATTTGAAATAAATAAAACTTTTCTGCTTTCAACCAGGTAAGCATTTGTATATAAAAATTCATGTACTTAGCATTATCCCTTTTAAAGAAAAGTGTTGTTAAAAAAACAAACGGAAGAAAGGTCTGGAACAGTTTTCATTATTTCTTTTCTTAACCAAAAAAGAAAAAAAAAAAAATTGGCGGAGGCGGGGATGAAGAAGGTAAATCACCAGTTTAAGAAAAACATCCGTCCTTCAAGGCTGTAGGTGGGAGAAGAGGCGGAGTGACGCGCCGCCTGGCCGGATTTTTAATTGTTAGAATTTGGTTGGTCAATCTCTGCCGCTCCAAAGACATGAAACAAAATTCTCATGCAGACTTTAACATTCAAGGACACTTATTGATTACAATAAAGAAATCTAATGTAAACTAAAATTTATGTATTTAGTTATTCCATGAATTTTGCATGATACATGTATGTCTAGACGCATTCTATTGGCCAATATTAGAATCTCCAATTACCTTCACATCTGAGTTATTAAATTTCTTAGATAAGGAAATTAGCATCTTTCAAATATTTGCAGACTTTGATTTAAATAACTTGCTAACTTTTCCAAAATGTACTTCTTTGAGCTCTAACTTTTAAAAAAGATACAATCATGTAGCAGTTCGAATACTTTACGTTTATAATAATATGCAAGATAGTTTAATTTAAAAAAAATTCAATATCAACATATGAATTTGATTTATCTGCAGACACTTCATTTTATAACCAAACTGCCGATAGATATGGTAGTTGAATTTCATCCATTGTTTGAGAATATGAAATCATTAAAAAAATCAGAATTTTTTTTTTACATTTTCCTTGAAGTAAATGAAAACAAAAAAAACTATTGAATACTTTTAGGTATTCAAAATTTTCCTTAATAAACCAAGACTTGATTATTATTTCCGAGTTTTAAAGGGTTGGCGATGGTTAACTATGCATCTGTGTAACCTAATAGTTTCAGCTTATATTTGTACTTACAATATTTGGCAACTCCACGTGAATAAAATCCAAATCATCTATGAGTTTTTCATTATAGCTCTTTTTTCGACTTATTAGCTGACAAACAAACTCATAGCGATTATAATTTGCAGAAAGACAATCAGCATGAGCCTGGCACTTATTAAAACAGGTTTCCAGGCCAATGTCAGGCAGGATTTTGATTTGGGTTATCGAAAGTTTCTTTCCAATGAAACAGTCAACGCAGGATTGTAGACCACAACTGGCTATTTTCAGATCAATATTGAAAGACATGGTCAAAATGAGACGGATTATACATGATAATCTGACCATTCCTGTAATTTGATCTAATTCTTTGAAACAGATGAAATTTACATGCTTTTGAAATGCACCAATCGATCTTTTCTGTTAAAAGCAATTCTGTAAAAGTTTTGAATATGGATTTTGTTATGCAATATTAATAAGAGAAGAATCCATCTTTCACAGGTATAAAATATCTCTTCGAGCTGCCAATAAAATTGCACGTATTGATCACGAAAAGACAATTTCCATTTTCAATACAAATACAGTAACAAATTGCTCCAAAAGAAAAATGTTTAATATTTAATAAATGAGGAATTCACAACTCCCAAATCGTAACAAAACACATATGCCTTGTCAACAGACAGACAGCGATACGGACAGCTAGACAGAACTAGATAGCTAGCTAGAGAGAGAGAGAGAGAGACCCAAAGCTAATAAACATGTTAGCTGTTACCTTAGGTAACGAGCTCTCTTAATAATAATGAGCTTAGAATTTACTGAAATCATGGATGTGTTTATTTTAATAGGCTGGACAAAACAGATATTTTCATAGAAACATGAAATCAGTATAAACAATGGAATTCAGGTAATTATGCTGTATAAAACTAGGCTTTACTTAGTTGACAAATTATTTCACACATCATTTATACGTTTAACGACAAAACGATCAAAATACGCATCATAGAACAAAAAGCACAAATCAAACTTTAGGGGGTGATGTCAAAAGCGTAAATTATGTTCAACTACCTACTAGTATGAGTATCAACAATAAATACATGTATAGCTATATTCTTACAGTAACCTAACAACCAGATTTTATGACAAACATGATAACTTAAAATTTTAATCATCAACTACCCTTATTAATGTACATGTAGCAATGTACCCTTATCAATTGCTGTGGGGTATATGTCTCTCAGTTGATTCAATACGCAAGAGCATGCTCTACTTACGAACAATTTCTAAAACGGGGCAAGATATTCACCAACAAATTGAGATAACCAAATTATCAACAGTCTCGTCAAAAGTCATCATTTTGCAAGTTCTATGGTCGATTCAATGACCTTGTCAGCAAATACAATCTACCATTAAGTCAAATGCTGACTGAACCTTTTCATACTAATTGTTAGTCCATTATTTACACACTGAATTGTCTACGTATCTTTCCGTTATAGCCAGATCATGACAAGGATTACACGGCAGGTGTATCCGGTCGCCAGAAGATGCTTACTCCTATATGGCATCTGATCCAGAAGATCCATGTTTTAGAGGTCCGTGCAGGTGTTTGCTCTGCTCCTGATTTGTTTTATTTGAATGGACTTCTGAGCTTGAATACTGTTCATTATCTCCATATTTCATTTTCATTTAATGAATATCTGCTTAACTATGCCTTGAAGTCTCCCTGCTGCTGTGTCAAAGGTTTGAACTCTTAAGTTGAATGACATAGGTTACAACCTGAGATAAAACAAATGTCGATGCTATGCAATTGCATGTTCTTTGAGCAGAGTAAGCATGAAATGAAATAATATGATCTCATGAAATATAATTTTAATACAAGAGGCCCCAGGGCCTTAACGGTCACCTGAGTACAACAATTTAGAGGATCCATTAACTGATAAATGAAGCTTTAATTGTTACCAAATAGCAAAAAAATTAGTATGATTAAGATCAACAAAATAATTGGTCTAGTATCTTTCTATCTGCCCCCCATTTCTCACTATTACCATGCAGACTTTCAACAAAATGTCTACATTATTACCCCTCACATTGGCCTCACTTTGCCTTTGAAGAACATTTAAGAAGATAGGTTATTTTTGTTTCATTTTTATTTATCTATTATTTCCAAGTCTACCAGATTATTAAAACTATGAAAGCACTTTTTATATTATACAATAAATGTTCTTGCATAATTCTCTTATTCTATTAACCTTTCAAATACATTATCTACAGTGATTAATTATCAAAAGTGAATGGCAAAGGGGAATAACTTCACTCAATAGAATACAAATTAATAGAGCCCTGGCCAGGACCAGAACACTTGACTAAATGGTCCAGATGTTGAAAATTTACAAATTTCGAAGAGGTGCCCTCATCATCATAACTATGCAATTAGTTTTCAAAGAATTCACACATTTTCATTATATTAACCAGGAGTAGAAAAAATATTTTGAAAGAAATTTTGAATTTTCACTATATAATCAATAGAGTACCCCCCCCCCCCCTTCACCAGAACCCCTGACCCATGGGCCATGAATATCACAGTTTTGGACGAGGCAGCCATGCTCATCATAACAATATACTAAGTTACTTTATTTCATACCCAGGAGCAGAGAAGTAGATTTTGAAAGATATAATGCATTTTCACTGTATAATCAATAGTGCCCCGCCCTAACACTAACACCCCTGACCCAGGGACCATGAAATTCACAATTTTGGAAAAGACAGCCATACTCATTAAAACTATGTACTAAGTTACTTTATTTCATACCCAGGAGCAGAGGAGAAGATTTTCAAAGATATAATGCATTTTCACTATATAATCAATAGAGCCCCGCCCTAACACTAGAACCCCTGACCCAGTGGCCATGAAATTCACAATTTTGGAAGAAGCAGCCATGCTCATTATAACTATGTACTAAGTTACTTTATTTTATACCCAGGAGCAGAGGAGAAGATTTTCAAAGAATTAATGCATTTTCACTATATAATCAATAGAGCCCCACCCTAACACTAGAACCCCTGACCCAGGGTCCATGAAATTCACAATTTTGGAAGAGGCAGCCATGCTCATTATAACTATGTACTAAGTTACTTTATTTCATACCTTAGAGCAGAGAAGTAGATTTTGAAAGATATAATGCATTTTCACTATATAATCAATAGAGCCCCGCCCTAACACTAGAACCCCTGACCCAGGGGCCATAAAATTCAAAATTTAGGAAGAGGCAGCCAAGCTCATTATAACTATGTACTTACTTTCTTTATTTCATACCCAGGAGCAGAGGAGAAAATTGTCAAAGATTTAATGCATTTTCACTATATAATCAATAGAGCCCCGCCCTAACACTAGAACCCCTGACCCAGGGGCCATGAAATTCACAATTTTGGAAGAGACACTCTTGCTTATCATAACTATGTACTTAGTTAGGTTATTTAATACCCAGGAGCAGAGAAGAAGATTTTCAAAGATATAATGCATTTTCACTATATAATCAATAGAGCCCCGCCCTAACACTAGAACCCCTGACCCAGTGGCCATGAAATTCACAATTCTGGAAGAAGCAGCCATGCTCATTATAACTATGTACTAAGTTACTTTATTTTATACCCAGGAGCAGAGGAGAAGATTTTCAAAGAATTAATGCATTTTCACTATATAATCAATAGAGCCCCACCCTAACACTAGAACCCCTGACCCAGGGTCCATGAAATTCACAATTTTGGAAGAGGCAGCCATGCTCATTATAACTACAGTGGCTGCAACGTTATTGTTGACAACTTACACGAACGATCACGTTACACGAACGATTCCGCACGATTAACGCACGATAAAATCTGTTACACGAACGATCCTTCACGCACACGATTCTACACGTTACACGATCTTACACGATTGCTAACGCAAACGCACGATTCTTCACGTAAAATAGTTCAAATTCTTTAAGAATTGATATTTTCAAAACGAAATAAGGCTTAATACTTATTTTAGATTACAAATAATTATTGCTATTATTTCATCGAGTTTGAAAAATGAAAAAAAAAAAATAGAGATGGATATTTCTGGAACTAAATACATATAAGGCTTATTAATTATTTTAGATTACAAATAATTATTTTCATATTTCTCCGACTTAAGAAAACTGATTTGTTTTGTTCTATCAGAAGATGTACACGTAGATGGACCGTGACTTTTGATTGAATTGGATTTCATAATATGCAGAAAGGGATGAATTTAAAAAAAATGGCATAAAAATGAATTAAATGTTTTCAGTTGTGAATCTCTAAAATCAACATTTATTTTACAAATCATTTATTTGCAGAAATTATAAAAAAAAAAAAAAAAATAAAAAAATAAAAGTAAGCTCCAGAGATAAACACTGATAAACGAAACCCCGACAATCATGTCTTGTACATGTACATTCGGTGACTAAATATTTATGTAAGCATTGAGAATTGTTTATTTATTTATTTGTAAAAATATCTATCTTTGATCTATTGATTTAAAAAAAAATATCTTGACCATAATTAGCAGTAAACATAATTAACATCAGAAAAAATTCTTAAACATCTAAGTACGGTTAATCATAAAAAATCACGCTGTTTGACGAGAACATAATATTGTACGACTTACTATATTGCTTATTTCCAAGCGATAATTAGTTCGTTCTGCTTTCAATTATATAAATCGCGCTTCATTTATTTTATTTGGATTGAAAAAAAAAAAATAAAAAAAAGACAAGCGAAATGCTTGTATAACAAATAACATTCCGATAAAAACTTACAAAACGAAATTTACACGTTTCTTCACGCACGATCACGCACGTTTCAAACCGCAAACGATTGAGCCTGATACACGCACGATCTCTCACGTTACACGAACGATCACGCACGTTACACGAACGATTCTACACGATTGGTTTGTCAACAATAACGTTGCAGCCACTGTATGTACTAAGTTACTTTATTTCATACCTTAGAGCAGAGAAGTAGATTTTGAAAGATATAATGCATTTTCACTATATAATCAATAGAGCCCCGCCCTAACACTAGAACCCCTGACCCAGGGGCCATAAAATTCAAAATTTAGGAAGAGGCAGCCAAGCTCATTATAACTATGTACTTACTTTCTTTATTTCATACCCAGGAGCAGAGGAGAAAATTGTCAAAGATTTAATGCATTTTCACTATATAATCAATAGAGCCCCGCCCTAACACTAGAACCCCTGACCCAGGGGCCATGAAATTCACAATTTTGGAAGAGACACTCTTGCTTATCATAACTATGTACTTAGTTAGGTTATTTAATACCCAGGA